GCTGCCTCCCCGCGATGGCATCTTGAGTTCGGGCCGCGCTATCGGGGCCGTCTCGCCTTCCACGTTCCACCCCACTGCCCCCTCCCCAGTTCTCCAAGGTGGGATGTGGGGGTAGCTGCTGGCTTCTCCCTGCAGCTTATGCCGGAATTGTGTCTGGAGCCTGGCCAACCTCTGAGTCTCTGGGAGCCAGGAAGGAAGTAAACTCCACTTACCCTACCCCCTCCACCCCGGGGAAAGGGTGACTGGGATCACTGGTGCCAGCCCAGGATGCCACTTAAGACCCTGGCCTTGGGGCTGGCATTGTGGCACAGCAGGTTCAGTCTGTATCCTGGCTTCCCGTATGGGCGCTGCATGTGGGTGCTGCTGGTTAGAGTGCTGTCTGCTTCTGACCCGGCTCCCTCCTAACTAACCTGGCAAACAGCAGAAGTGGCCCAAATCTTTGGGCCACTGCACCCAAGTGGGAGACCTGGGTCGAGTTTCAGGCTACCGGCTTTGGCCTGACCCAGCCCTGGTCTTTGCAGCCATGTGGAGAGTGAACTGATGTATAGAAGATTCTCTCTCTCCTCTCAAATAAACAAATAACTCTTTAAAAGAATCATTGTGGTCTCCTGTGTCAGATTAACCCAGGTTTTACTCCCCACCCCTATACTACCTGACTTACTTAATATCTCTGTGCCTCAGTTTACTCATGTGTAAAATGGAGATAATACCAACCGCACAAGCTTCATGTGGGGATTCTGTGTCCAATACATCTAAAGCCCCTTGCCCCAAGGCTCGTACGCAGGAACTCCATAAACAGCTGTTAGTGCTGTCATCACTGTCATCACTGTCATCTTCTCTGTGCCCAGAGTCCTGGGGAGGATCCTATCCATGCGTTCATTCATTCAATACAAATCAGATTAGCTTCTACACGGAGCCCAGACCATAGACAGTTACTAAAGACACACAGAGATAAGACTCATTCTCAAAGAAGTCTCAGAGGCTATGAAATGTCTTTCTTACTGAGAGATAATAGAGGAAGATGTGCGAGATATTGGGAACTTAAAGAAGGCAAGCTCTCTGAGACTCCATGAAACTTGCGTAATGAGAGGACCTTAAAACAACAACAACAATAATAATAAAACAATAATGGGTCAGGTGATAGGAGTCCAGAAGTGTTTTTAAAACTGTCTTATTTCTATGAAGGGAACAAGTGTCATGTATTCTGTATATGCAGTTCTAAGAACATAATGATATTTCTCCCCAGAATTTTTCAAGTCTTTCAAGTTGAGAGTCCCAGATTCCCTGCACCGACATCATGGACATTTATTTAAAAGCACTTTTGTCCTTGTGGTCAAAATCCCTGGCTGTGGGCCTGAGGTGCTGTGTTTTAAGAGGCTGCAGATGATTCCCAGTCTCTGAGGAGGTGTGAACCCTTTCCCTACTACAGGAAAATGCCCTTGACCCCTCCCCCTTTTCAGCGCTGCAAGGTTAATATTTCCCAAAGACACAGTACTTCGTGCCTTGATTTGGGCTTATTTGGAGCCATTCTATGTCCAACTGGGCTTTCCCTAAGACCTTGTCAGCGCTCATGCACTGAGGAAGATAGCACTCTTCTTTAGTGTCACTTCCGCAAATGCCCAGATGCTCCTTGCTTGGATACTGGGAGAGACATTGGCCCATCAATGGTGTGTGTGTGTGTGTGTGTGTGTGTGTGTGTGTTTAAAATTGATCTAATGGGGGGCCAGCGCTGTGGCGCAGCGAGTGAACACCCTGGCCTGAAGCTCTGGCATCCCATATGGGCACTGGTTCAAGACCCGGCTACTCCACTTTCAATCCAGCTCTCTGCTATGGCCTGAGAAGGCAGCAGACAATGGCCCAAATCCTTGGGCCCCTGCACCCACGTGGGAGACCCGGAGGAAGCTCCTGGCTCCTGGCTCCTGGCTTCAGCTGTTGCGGCCGATTGGGGAGTGAACCATTGGATGGAAGACCTCTCTCTCTCTCTCTCTCTCTAACTCTGACTTTCAAATAAATAAATAAATAAATATTTAAAAAATAAAATTAATTTAATGCCATGGAAGCTGTGTGTACTTTCCGGTTGAACCTAATTCCAATCTCTCTCTTATCCACCCAACTAGAATGACTGATTTACTTTATCCGACTTGCCCCTGATAGAATTGGAGTTTGCAAATCCTGGGAAAGGTGGCGGGCATTCTCCCAGTCTTGTAAAGCTGTCCTTCTGCATGGTCTTTTTTCTCCTGTCTCCCCCAGCCTGCTGTCTCCAGGGCTTTCTCAAGAGGACTGCTCCTGCACACTGGTGTCATCTTACTGCAGGCGGCCTAGAGCTGTCAGCAGGCCTCCCTGAAGGCAGCGATGGGAATGGGTTTTGATTTGTGATCCTAATGCCTGGGGATGCTGGAGCTAGAGCTGGTGAGCCGAAGGGCCGGTTGGCTTGGCTCTGTCTCTGACCCCGGCCTGACCCCTACCCTGGCCAGTCTCCAGCACTGCTCCCCAAGCTGCTGAGGGAGCAGAGCAGGGAACGAAGATGAATGTGGTTGGGTCTTTTCCTTTTAAGCGTTTGAGTTCAACCCCACAGACAGCCAGGGTGTTGTGGAGTGAATGTGAGTCTTAGGGCATTGTGGGGCTGGGCAAGATATAGATTCAGTGGCCCTACTTTCAATCCTCCTTTCCTTTTGGGCTTCCAGCATCTGACCGAAAACAGAAGTGGTTGTTCTCAATGCTAGTGAGTGGTACAGTAATGCTGCATTCGGCTTCTGGGGAAACAAAGATCCCTGGACAGAAACTCTTGACTTGCTCAAAATGTATTTCATTCAAATTAAACACAGTGGTAGTCTATTGTTAAAGGTGAATGCACTTTGCAATTTTGTGGTCCAGCCCTCTGCTTCTGGGTAAACTGAGGCCCATCAGGGTCACACAGAGCCAGTGTCAGAATGCAGTTCGACCCAGCCTTGGTGACGTCAACAGCTCTGATGCATGTTCTAAGTTCCCAGAAGCCCACTGGCCTTGCTCCGCGTGACTCTGCACCACCTTTACCACGGTGCCAGATTTACCCAACATTCCGCTTCCGGTTTTGGACTGGAGACTCCTTGAGGGCAGGGATGGAGCCTGGCTCATAGCTGCAGCCCAGCCCTTCCCTGGCATAGCCTCTAATTCAAAGCAGGTGTGGAGTGAATGGAGCGCAGAGGACTGGCTTGCATCTTCAGATGAACCATTTTCTGGGAGATGATCTAGGCCTCTCCCACCCTCAAATGCATTCTCTTTCAGTTGAGGAAGAGAGGAATCACCATTTATTCCCTGGTTTCCATGTGCCAGGTGCTGTGCCAGTGCGGACCACAGTGCAGGAGACACTATTATACCCATTTTATGGATGAGGATGCTACAGTACAGAGACGGGGGGACCCTTTCATGGGCTCGCTGCCAGCAAGAGGCAGAGGCATGTTTTGGATCTGAGGGCAGGCGCACGCCCCAAGGAACCCGTTTATGAGGAAGTTTGCTAAGTACTAGTTTGGGGGTTCAACGTTTTCCTTATCAAGCCAGCCCCATGCGGCTTCACCAGAACCCCAGGTGGCAGACATGAGCGCAATTCCAGTTTTCCAGGTCAGAGAGGTGTAGTGAAGCTGGGTCCTCTTCCCCAGTCTCCAGGCGGGGGGTCCAGGGGAAGCGGAGAAGAGACAGATCCAGAGGGGGCTTCCTCTTAGGTCAGTGGGTGGTCCTCCCACACCCCACTTGCACCACCGTGCTCAGATTCTGGGCAACCTGGCTCATCCCTCCCTTGGCGTGCTAGCTGTCAAACCCGAAGACTGTCCTGGGGTCGAGCTGGTGGCTGTGACAAGGGGGGCACAGCTGGGAGGGAGAGCGGGATTTCTTCCCCAACACCGAGTGCAGAGCGCCGCAGTCCCAGGATTCCCCATCCATTATTCACGATGTTTACTAGTGGGGGGGGGAGGGGGGAGGCAGGGGGCGGGGCGGGGCGGTACTAATCCAGGTGCCCTCAAGTCTCTAAACTCTGGGAAGACTTGGAGGCTAGGTGGGGAAGAGCCTGGAAATTCAGCCTGGCGCCCAGCACACAGTAGGCCGTCAGCAAACAGTGTTGGTTGGCTAAGTGGGGAAGTGAGAGAATGGCTCTGCTCTGAGCCAACCCTGTGGCCCTGGTGAGCGAGCGAATCGGGTAATTCCTCGCACCTTGGTTTTCCTCCTCTGTATAATGGGGTAACTGCGTGCCCCACAAAGTTGGTTTGAAGGTCTCCAAGCCAATTTTCTACACTGCCTAGCATATAGGGTAGCTCAAAGATGGTGTCTGTCGTTAAGAGAAGAGGCTTGTAGGCGTTGCGGCTCCAGCAAAAGTGCACTGAGCGACCCCCAAGGTCTGCATTCTGAAAACCACCCAGCAGGTTGCCTGCCTTAGCTCTGAGGGTTAAGAGTGGCCCAAGTAGTCTTTCTCATACGAAAGCAACAAAAGCAAATGTGGGGAGGAAGCCGCTGACCCAACCTCCACCCAGGCGGGCGGTAGGGGGTAGGGGCCACCCGGGACCCATGCTGGCAGCCCTTCGCTCTTCCCGGGGTCGGTCTGGGCACTGGCAGGCGCCTCTGCGCTGCGCCGCGGGGCTGGACTCTGGTGGACGGCTCGGGCGTTGGGCCAGGAGCGCCCTGGAAATGGGCAGTTTGGCGGCAGCCGGGCCGACCGGGAGTTTGTGTGTGGGGTGGTGGGGGAGGGCTGGAAGGGTCAGCTTCCTGCCCGCACGCAGCCCGAAGCTGCCCTTCGATCCGGGGAGTGCGAGTTGGGACAGGACAGTGGGGTTCGGGACTCTCTCTCTCTCTCTCTCTCTCTCTGTGTGTGTGTTGGGGGGTGGTGGGCGAGGGGAAGAGTCCTCGAAGAAGAAGAAAGAGTCCGGAAGGTCTGGCGGGCTGGAGCCAGGCGGGGCGGGGCGGGCGGCGAGAGGCCAGGCCAGGCCCGGGTATAAATGCCGTGGAGGGGCAGCCGCGGCGGGCGCAGAGAAGCGCGCCGCGAGCCTCTGTCTCGCCTGGCCTCCGGGGCCGCCCCTGCGAGTCCCGGGCGCGTGAACACGCCTGCGCGCACCCGGGCCCTTCCTGGCAGGCTGCTTGTAAGATGAGTGAAGAAGCAGGTGGGGGAGAGGGGAGGCAGCGAGCGAGAGGGCGAGGGGAGCGCGGGCGCTGAGCGGCGCTCACTTGGAGCGCGGCGAGCGAGCAAGACGAGCCTGATTCCATGTCCCCCGCTGCCTCCCTGCCAGGCGCGCGAAGATGATGGCCATGAACGCCAAGCAGCCTTTCGGCATGCACCCGGTGCTGCAAGAGCCCAAATTCTCCAGCCTGCACTCCGGCTCCGAGGCCATGCGCCGAGTCTGTCTCCCAGCCCCGCAGGTACGTAGTGGAGCATAATTACCGCTCTAAGGCACATTTTTTGACAGGCACTAGCTTCATGTTTTTTTCATGTCGCCCAGAACAATCGCCGCTGTCTGAACCCCTCTCCTTGTCTCCCCCGCGCTCTCTCCCGGCGCGCGCTCTCTCTCTCATTCATGTCTCTGATCCACACGTCTGTTCCAGCAGAGCTGCTGCCTCCGTATTAATTTTTATGACCTGGGCTTTGAGGAGAGGCATCTCGGTTGCTTGAAAATGTGTTTTAATCCTGAGTTGACAGTATTCCCCACTGACCGTGCTGTGCGCCTTCTCGCTTGCAGCTGCAGGGTAATATATTTGGAAGCTTTGATGAGAGCCTGCTGGCACGCGCCGAGGCTCTGGCGGCGGTGGATATCGTCTCCCACGGCAAGAACCATCCGTTCAAGCCCGACGCCACCTACCATACCATGAGCAGCGTGCCCTGCACGTCCACTTCGTCCACCGTGCCCATCTCCCACCCGGCGGCGCTCACCTCGCACCCGCACCACGCCGTGCACCAGGGCCTCGAAGGCGACCTGCTGGAGCACATCTCGCCCACGCTCAGCGTGAGCGGCCTAGGCGGCCCGGAGCACTCGGTGATGCCCGCACAGATCCACCCGCACCACTTGGGCGCCATGGGCCACCTGCACCAAGCCATGGGCATGAGTCACCCGCACGCGGTGGCGCCGCACAGCGCCATGCCCGCGTGCCTCAGCGACGTGGAGTCAGACCCGCGCGAGCTCGAGGCCTTCGCCGAGCGCTTCAAGCAGCGGCGCATCAAGCTGGGGGTGACCCAGGCGGACGTGGGCGCGGCTCTAGCCAATCTCAAGATCCCCGGCGTGGGCTCGCTCAGCCAGAGCACCATCTGCAGGTTCGAGTCTCTCACTCTCTCGCACAACAACATGATCGCGCTCAAGCCGGTGCTGCAGGCCTGGCTGGAGGAGGCCGAGGCCGCCTACCGAGAGAAGAACAGCAAGCCTGAGCTCTTCAACGGCAGTGAGCGGAAGCGCAAACGCACGTCCATTGCTGCACCCGAGAAGCGCTCGCTCGAGGCTTATTTCGCCATCCAGCCCCGACCCTCATCCGAGAAGATCGCAGCCATCGCCGAGAAACTGGACCTTAAAAAGAACGTGGTGAGGGTCTGGTTCTGCAACCAGAGACAGAAACAGAAACGAATGAAGTATTCGGCTGTCCACTGACTGCGGCGGGGCGCAGCGGCCGGGGCCTGGAGAGCCTGAGGCGTCCACCCCCACCCCCCATGGGGGAGCCGGTTACCGGGAACTCCGCGGCGTTCCCTGGCAGGTCAGGCATTCTCCCCCGAAGCCACAGACATTCCCCTTGATTCCGCCCGGTCGCCTCCCGGCCTTCTCTTCCTTCCTTTCTTTTTCTTTCTATTCCCACCAAGAAAAGTTTTGTCGCTAGAAAAAGAAAAAAATAAAAAATTCAAGGGCGGGCCTGGAGGGACGAGCGCTATCCGCGGTGCTGAAACTCGCCTGGCGCGACCTCGGGGCTGGAGCCCCCAAGCAGATAGTGAATCGGCCCCAGTGCCGGAAGCCGGGGTTTTCAAAGCGCCACTTTGCTGAGCGCGGTTAGGTAAAGGGTGAAGGGATGGAAAGCAAGTGACGGATATATAATAACAGAAAGTCTAGGAGATCCAAGTGGGACACGAACACGTATGGAGAGGCATTAGAGTTTATAAAAATACACATTATCTTTCCAAAGGATAGCCTTATATACTTCCACCCTCGCCTGAATTTTATCCATCTTATCCTTTGGTTTACCGAAAGTTCTCGTGAAGTAGTATGGATTTAGGTTCAGGGAAATCTGCGGGGAGTGTTGAGCTCCGAGCTGTTGTTCTCCGCGGTAACCAGGGCTCCGGAAAACGTGGGCCCAGTCCAGCGAGTGAAAACGCTGGGATCCTTGGCCATTTGCAAGCAGCAGTCAGCAGCAGCTCTGGCCACCTCCACGATCTGCTGGCGTTTGCGAGGTAACTGACTGCGGGAGAGCCAGGGTTGGTATGCAGCGGACCCAGCTCGCGCGGGGCATTTGCGGGCGACCAGCTCTGCGCGGAGGCCGCTGCTCCAAAGTCACTGTACTTCTCCCAGTCATATGCAAGTCCTTCCACACATCTAATCTTGCGCTTTTATTATCGTTTTTGCTAGCGTCGTTAATTCCTTTTATTTATTTAACTCAGCTGCTTTATGTGAATGTCACTCCGTGGAGACTGACCTATAGTTTTGCCTGGGGAAGGGGAGCAGGGGTGGGGGTTTATATCATCCCACCTCGGCCCCTCTTGCCCCATCATATTTTCTGTTTTCGTTGCTTCATGAAGTTTGCGCGTTGCTGTGTGATCTTTGATTTCCATCCTCCAAATAGATACAAATAAAATGCTAAGTTTTCTTCTCCCTTTACCCCTTAACTTAACTTCTAAAATAAATACTTTATTTTTCAACCTGAATCGCAGTGGTTTTCTTTCTCAGCCGCTAAGGATCTAAAAGTGAGAACCCAAAAGGGCCACGCTATCACTTCCTGCCCACCAGCCCCCAGCCACCTGCTGTCCCCACTACTCTGCCCAGCTCCGCTCCAGGTTTCAAGGCGCTGTCCCGCCAGTGGATCAATCAGACTTTTGCTCAACTTGACTCAGATGCAAACTTTGAAGCCTGACTTGGGGGTTAGCGCTCCAGTGCCTCCACCATCCCGAGTGTCTCAACTTCTCTAAGCCTTTTCTGACAAGATTGCTCATCTGCAGGATTCGGCTGCTAATGTGCTACATCACAAGGTCATTGTCAGAAGTAGGGAAGGCTGTTTGTTAAGGAGTCTGATGATGCTTGGCTCTTGGCAAGAAACTAATTATTTTAAAAGATTCAAGCGGCTGGAGAGGAGGTGAGGGTACAGACACAAAAGGGAAAGGAAGTGTTCCCTGGGACAGTCAGTTGGGACCCTTTAGGGTCTCTGCAGAAATTTATTTGGAATTGTCATCCAAGAGGTTAGGCACTCCGTCTCTAGTCTTCTCTGTGGCAGCGTGTACTAAGTTCTGCTACAAGGCGCCTAGCATGGCTCCCTGCACACAGTAGGTACCTAACAGGTGTGAGTTCCCTCCTGTCTTTCCTCTCCCTCTAAAAGCAGGAGGAAATCTTTTTAATTGTGAACCGCAGAAACATCCCGACGATGTAAACACTGATGTTACAAGTTTCGTCTGCACGTTTCCTCGCAGCGTCCTCAAACAGCTCCGGGTCTTTAGAAGACCTCGGGCCAAAATTCCGAGCGGAGCAGTTTCGGCCGCTGCGCGCAGCGCCCGCCCCCCACCCCCTCCTACGGAAAAGCAAACTTGCGGATCGCCCCCAGCTCCCCTGGCCTCAGCCCCCTCGTCGCCGCCTTCGCAACAGCCCCAGCGATTTCTCCACCTCCCACTCCATCGGGTGTCCTTTAATAATAAATGCCCTTATGCCATTACATTATATTGTGGGTTTTGAAAATTTAAAATACGGCTGATGCAATATTAATTGCCTATAGTGGTATAAAACACAGGGCCGGAGCCCAGCCGGGCTGTAGAGGAGGCGGCGGTGAGCGTCCCGCGCCAGAGCCGTGCGCTCCAGAGGACGCGTGTTGGCGGCTGCTAGTTTTCCTGCAGGTAAGAGCCTTCGGATTCTCTGGCCCGGCAAAGAGCCCGATATCTGTCTCCACCTCCTCTCCGAAAAGTTCCCTGCTGTCTATTTATTTAAATTAGCAACCGCAAAAGTTTGGGACACTTTTAAGAGAGGGCGAGAAGAGCCGCCGCAGTGCAACGCATGGGTTCCCAGGCCCCGGAGCGCCTCTGCGCCGCATCCCCTGTAGGCGCCGGAGCCCCTGGCGCGCGGCAGGATTTTGACCAGCCCTGCGGGTGAAGCGCTCCACCCTCTCCCTCCCTCTGAGTGCGCCGGGCCGGCGCCGCAGCCTCTCTCTTTGGGCTCGCTCAGGAAGCAACGGGAGATGTGGTTTCCCCAGGATTGTGCAGTCGCCTCTGCCACTCGTCCGGCGGTGGCACAGACCTCTGTGGGGGTGGGGTGGGTGGGTACCAGCAGGTTTGAGGTTCACCCAGGCCTAGTTTGCATCCGCTGTGTTCCAGGTCGTGTGCAGCTCCCATCATTTCTCTAAGCCGTGCTAACTGCTGTAAAACTTCTCAAAACTTAGTTTGAAGAGTAATTGAAGGTGTATCCTATGAGCACCTGGAGCGGGTTTTCCTTTTGCCAAGCCCCAAGTCAGCTTGTAACACTCACTGTCCCTGAGCCAGCTGGGACTTGCCTTAGCCTGTTCCCACAGAACGTGGGCCTTTCATATGGAAAGCTGCCTAGGGCTCTGAAGGTGAAACTTTGAGACCCCTCTGTGGACCAAGGGGGAGGCTTCCAGGCCGTGGCCTGAGCTGGAACGGGCCATGATCAGGCTCTTGATCTGGAGTTAGCCTGGTGTGGGCCCATCTGTATGGCTGAAGCCCTGGCAGGTGGACCCTGGAGGCAGGATTCCTGGACTTCTGAGCTGTGTTCTCTCTGGTATTCTCTCTCCATGCATCAGGTAGTGTTGGTTTTGTTCACATTCTCATGCCCAGTTCAGGGTCTGCCTCAGAGTGGTCTACAAAAAACATCTATTGAATGAATGAAGTCTGTGTTTCATAACATTTCTCTGGATTCTAGAGACTGGACGGAGGAACAGAGACTGTTGGCCATGGGCCAGTGTCGTGCGCACCACCAGCTTCCATTCAAAGGCAGCGGCTTCATTCTGGGGTGTTCTGTGTGACAAGGGCCCTTGAAATCCGGAGGGGGAGTCATGAAGGAGGAGCAGGGGTGACCTCTGCCCTGCTCAGTGTGCCTGGTCTGGCCTTGCCCCCTCCCCCACCCTTGCATTGGGTTCTTCTGCTTTCCTGCCGAGATGGACACAGGGCTGACTCTAGAGTGGACAGGTTGCGGGGATAACTGAGCAAGCACTCTCACCAACCGTAAAATCTGAAAAAAAAAAAAAAAAAAGAAAAAGAAAAAGACTCAGGATTGTTCTGAAGAGTGCACGAGGTAAGGCCAGGGCCTGACCCATCAGGGACATTCAGTCGCTTTAAAATCTTTGTACCCAGAACAGTGAGAGGTAACGTCTGTTGCGGGGCAAATTCAGTACCCGGAGTCGGTTGGGATCAACACCTTCCCTGGGTGAGTCACGGTCCGGCCCTGGAGAAAATGAGGGTAGCCACGCCCTCGTGGCAAGGCCGGCTGGGACCGGCGGAAAGCGCGGGAGAGACCTCTGGGCGCGCTGTGGGTCTCAGCTGCAGAGCCGAGGTGAATTCGCTCCCCAGGTGTCCCTGAGGCGGGGACGCACAGTTAACCTCGAGCCCCCGGCCCCAGATGCGGGCGCCGTCCAGCGTCTCCCACGTTTGGAGACCTCGCGCCTTGCTCCTTCCCAGAGGGAGCAGGGCAGAGGCCCTTGGATTCCCACCACCCCAAGCTGTTCCCACCTTTCGGCCCTGGTGCCAGAATGCCTGAAAAACCCTCTTTAACCCAAGGGGAGACGGAGACGCAGACCGGGGGAGAGACTGACTCTTCCCCAGTCGCGCCGTCACATCACCCGTTCCCCTTCGCCGTATTACTCCCTGTGAACATCGTGTATTTGCCAACAAGTGCGCTCTGGCAGAGCAGGTCCGCCCAGTCCACTCCTGCTCCCTCGAACCCAACGCACAGAGTCGCTCAGAGTGAGCGCTCGGATATGCGAATGTTTGCCGGCTAAGTGCATAATAATGATCATGACAATTATATCTATCATATCTGGAGGGCTTCTTGTATGCCAGGTGTGATGCAAGCGCCTTAATTGCATTAACCCAGTAATCCCTAAACAGCACTACGAGTAGGTAGAGTTTTAGAGCCCATTTTACAGATGAGAACATGGAGGCACAGAGGGTTCTGTAACTTGCCCCTAGCAAGTCGTGAACGCAGCGACGTAGTGCAGAGATCTGGCAAAACCTCCTCCGTACCCTAGGGAGTCCCAGCCCTGTCTGGGGAAGGGAAGCGGGCCTCTGGGGGTGGGGGGGGAGGCGGAGCAGGTGTGGGGGATTTGGCCACGTGCAGGGGCGGCGGCGGGAGTCCAGCAGACCCGCGTGCTTGCCGGCTTCGCGGCTCTCTCCCCCTCCGCGTCCCGCTGCCTGCGCCGGTGCGAGTTTCCCTTCCAGCTCGCAGGCGCGCAAGCCGAACCTCCTGGCGCAGCAGCGGGTGGGCGCGGCCCCCTCCCCACCGCCGAGCGCCGGGAGCCCCCGTGGTCACCCGCCCGGCGGGCAGATGGAGCCAGCGCGGACCCCGGCGGACGAATTAGTCTCCACTTCGATCGCTCTTTTCCGATCAGGTCAGGTTTCCCTCCGCCCCCACGACGGCACTTCCGCCCCAGCCCGGCTCCCAGGGCTCCCCGGCGGGGTCAGGGTGCGCTCGGCTCCTCCCGGCGCCTCCGGAGGGGGCTTCCCCCTCGGCAGCGTCTGGGCTCCGGGAGCCCCTGGCCCGCGGGAGAGGGGGGAGAGGGCCGGGGCGGCGGGGCCCCGCGGCGTCCGGTCCCCAGCGCGCGCGGTCGTCTCCTGTCTGCCCCTCGCCTCCCCAGCGCCCTGCCCAGCCCTGGCCACACCGGAGGCGGCAGCGGGGACAGAATTCTCTCCCTTTCTCAGTCACTCTCTCTTCTCCCCCCTCCCCTTTACCCGTCCCCTCCCCTACCTGTCTTTTAAAGTATTTTGGTTTTTTAGGGCCACACACACACATACACACACTCCAAATGTTTACCCCGGGAGAAGTCAGATGTGAGTATTCTAAATACGTATTTAGGATTTCATTTGATTTTAACTTTGGATAACATAGGGAGGGGCCACCACCATAATTGTAAGCGGCCGCGGACCCAGTCTCACCCCGGATCCCACCTTCTCTGTCTCCTCTGCTGCACGCCCCGCCCCCGCCAGCCGTGCGCCAAATCCCTCAGTCCCTGCCCGGTGACAGAGCCCCTCGCAGCCCGAGGCCTTGTAAGGCGGCGCATCTTGTGGCAGATATAGTTCATGTCCAGCCCCCATAAATCAAGACCATAAAAAGCTTACTTTCATATGCACTCAATTTCTACCAAACCTAAACTAATTGCATAAATTCCTTTAGGCCACTCCTAGTTGCTCTCTGGGTTGGGATCTGATCAATTAGTCATTAGGCACTCCATTAGCTGGGGTTTAAGCTGCCTCATATAAATGTCTCCTGTCAATTTGCTTGTAATTGAATGAATAAAAAAAGGCTACAATTATCAGCACGGAGAATCAGAATGAGAAGAGGTCAATTTTATTCAAATATTCTAAAAATGTCTTGATCTAATAATAAACGCAATAATAATAATTAGAAGGCATTCAGACAGCAGCCACTGCCAGAGGCCGGTGGGTGTT